GGAGCCTCGTGTGCAATATTCGGGCAATCTCGGAGGCTCCTAGAGCCGTCTTCGGCCGATCTTGGCCAAAAGACCAAGAGAGATCTCACACTTCAGCTAAACACATCAGGAGACCCGACCGTCCAGTGGGTCCTCTCGGGAACTCTTTGGGCCGTTTTGGGGCCCTCTTGGGCCGTCTTGGGGGTCTCGGGCCATCTTCGGGCATTCTCGGGGCTCTCTGGGGCCCTCTCTGATGGCCTCCTATGGCCTTCTTGGGACTCTTTTGGAAGCCTTTTGGAGTCCTCTTGGTCCTTCTAATGGCTAGCTTGGACCGTCTTAGCGCCCTCTTGTGCCGTCTTGGGCCCGCTTGGGGACCATCTGGGCCGTCTTGGGGCCCTAGGCCCCAAGAGCCGTCTTCGGCTGATCTTTGCCAGACCAAGCATCGATCAAACATTCAAGGAACATCAGTGCTTTTTGCATCCTCATGCAATCTTAAAGGTCCTCGTGGGAGCGTCTTGGGGCGTTCTGGGGGGCTCCAGGGGAGAGGCGAGGAGTGGACAAACGGGCGTAAGACGCCCTACCACCCCCAACTTAAAAAAGACAGTTGAGATGGGTACCAAGATCAGCCAAGAGGCCCCTAAGACGGCCCAAGAGAGTCCTGAGACGGCCGAAGACACTCCAAGACGACCTCAGAAAGGCCCAAAGGCTCCAAAACACTCCACGAGCGCTCCGAGAGGGTCCAAGATAGCCTCAAGACGGCCTACGAGGCCCTCCCTAGAAAACTGCTCGCCCCACCAACACGTCATATCATTCGTACTTCGCTCTTTCCGTTACCGGGCGCTCGGACAATTTATCGCCCTTCTCGATTCGGGCGTCTGCGATCAGTGGCTGGATTTAGTCCTACAGATCGCGGCAGAACGTAGACAAATCAGATCAAAACAGTGGCGAAGACAACCAACACAATTGATTGGTCGAACTTTTCAAGAAATGGGGAGTTCTGCCATGCCGCCCGGCATCTCACACCTCTAGAAGACGCCCCCTGGGTACCGCGGCTGCGCACAACGAATGAGTGGACTCCTGCCTGCGACCTCCCAACCTTGTGGAGCGGAACCCATCCTGAATGACTTTGCAGAGTTCCTTCCGTGATAAAGCACAGGACAGAACACATCCATTCTTGCTCCCAGGCTGCGGCCATCGAGACGTGGCCGCTTCCCGAGATCCTGCATCCAACAATCATGGCGTCTCTTTCCTGCGCCCGCCGGCTTCCGCAAGAGGGGCCCGCCGCCGCTCTACTTCCGTCGCCCTTCGCCGGCCCTCCGCTGGTTGCCTCCGAGGGCGGTGATGCGACGAAGGAAACAAATGGTTCCCAGAACGCGCTGCGTGGGTTCGGTGCAGGGCTCTGGGGGCGCTGCTACGAATGTGTCGCAGCATATTTGGAGCACCAGTATTCCACAACTTACTTCTACGACCGTGCTTCGTGCGGCGCTCTGTTTGAAAAAGAAGCACGCTCGCGTTGACAGAACGTCGCAAACATAATCCGTGATGCTTTTTCTCACGGTAGCCGTTCACGGCCGTGCTCATGTTCACCTCACGGGCTATAGGTATCTCGAATCGAGATGCGCTCTGGAGATTGGTCGCGAACGCGCTAGATAAACGCTGCCGGAGATGACCGACAGGGTTGGAGATTCCCCATTCCTGCCAATCGTCTTCGGCCGCTTCCACGTGTCCAACTCCCACCTCATATGTTAGCCAATTCCCAGCCCTGCTCTTTCCTACCCTCCTCCTGTCGTCTTGCCCGAGAGAGGAGATCACCCGCCACACCCGGGGCATCGCAGGGGCCAACCCGGCGTGGCCCACGCGCTCAACCCTTCGCGGCGGCTCCGGCACCAATGGGGGGGAGGGATGAGATGCTTCTTCGTCTCGCCCCGGACACTACGGTGGGGGCGTTGGTTAAGTGATGTGCCCAGGAGGCCAGACCCTGGAGGATTCGGGCGGCGGTGAAATCCATGGCCAATCCAGGATTGAAGTTCCACCAGCTTCCAGACCCTGGATTTCTTGCCCAATGGTTCCTTATCCGATGCCCTCACCTTGCTGATCGCAGAAAAGCGGCTTGAGAAGGATCGCGGTTCTGGCGGACAAACGTCTCGCGAGAACCCCGCTCTTTCTGGCTCTTCGTGCGTCTGCGCGAAGGCTGCCCCTGATAAGAGCGAGCATGCGCCACCATGGGGCCACCAGCTCACACAGCCTCGGTGCTGGGAGAGGGGAGGGACGGGGGCTCAAGGTAAGGGAGGGGCAAGGAGACGGAGAGGGGACAGGGCAGGGGGAAGAGGGAGAAGGAAAAGGCAAGGGGGGGAGGAGGGAATGAAAGGCGACGGGGAAGAGTGGAGAAGGGGGAGGGGGCAGAAGGAAGTGGGGGAGTAGGGGCGAGGGCCCAAACGCCCAAAACAATGCGAAGGGGACCCAGCATGGCCATCATGCGAGCCCATTGCGCCCAAAAGAAGCCCCTGGCGACCCCCCCGAGCACGGCCGTGCTGCTGCTGCTGCTGCACTTCAGTCTCCTCCCTCCCTGCCCGTGCATCAGCAATCTTTGCCGTAACTGCGTCCTACTGCTAAACAACCGGCCATGCGGGCCCATCCAGCCCAATCGCCCACGCCTCAACTGTATGGGTTTGCCCCAGAACGATTGGGTCCCGAGGAAAACGGTTCCCCCAGGCAGGGACCAGGCAGGGACCAGCCTGTCATTCGGGGGCTTCCCCCAGGCAGGGACCAGCCTGCCATCCCGCGCAATCTTTTGACGGCCCCCAGGGCCTGTGCAGGGCTCTTGGGGCCCGACAACACCGACTAATCTCCAGGCTCCGCTCCGTCAGGCCCTGTGCGATGGTCGTGCCGCCCAAAGGAAGGCCAAAAACGAGGAACGAAGGGCTTTTTCTCTGGCTGCGGCGAGCCCCCGCCACGGAGGGGCTCCCCCCACCCGGGGCCGAAGGAACGGCCCGACAACCAGAGACACCCCCTGAGCAGGGAGGAGGAGGAGGAGGAGGAGGAGGAGGAGGGGGAGGAGGAGGAGGAGGAGGAGGAGGAGGAGGAGGAGGAGAGGAGGAGGAGGAGGAGCAGGAGGAGGAGGAGGAGGAGGAGGAGGAGGAGGAGGAGGAGGACGGGTCGCCTAAGCAGCATCTCGACCGTGTGCTTTGTGGCCGTGTCGGTCAGGGCGTCTTCGGCATCGGGCGCCCCAGGCGATGCGGCCCGTGCGCGCTGCTGCTGCAGCCCGCGCCTGCCGCTGTTATGGCTCCGCGGCGTCCTCTCCCCTTCTCGCCCCTCGGCCTGTGCGCGCGCGGGACGGCGCTCGTGGGGGGAGTGACTGGGATGGGGGGGAGGGGAGGAGGGAGAGCAGGCGCGCGGGCAGCCTGTGCTGGCCTGGCTCCTGCCTCCTGCGCACCCCGACATGCTTTACGATCCGAGGGCGCTCCGGCCGTCCGCGCGGCCCCCTCCCTCCCCTGCCTCCCGGCCTCCCTCGCCGCCCTCGTGGCCCATCGTGCTGCAGCAGCCCTGCCGCAGACACGGCACCCTGGATCCAAGGCGCCGCCGATTCAGCCATCTGTGCCGAAATGAGGCAGTCCCGACAGAGTCCCGTGGCTGGAGGCGACCTCCCCAGCGGAGCTTGGAGAGGGTCCCGGGGTACACCCTGCGAAATGCTTAAGAAATCATGGGTTAAGAAATTCATAGTCTCAGAACTTGCGTAAAAACCCAACATTTCTATTGTAATCTTAGGATTTACATTGAAACGTTAAGAATAATCGAGACTCTGGCCGAAAACTTAGGTTTTCTTAAGCATCGCCCAAGGTGTAGGCCTTCATATGAGGCTGGCCTTGGATCTGAGCGTGGTGGACCTTTTGGACATCCGCTCGAGGCCGCCCTGTGGGAGCCGGGTGGGGGCGCCTTTCCCGCGACCAGCGGGATGGGGAGCGCGAAGAGGGGGATGGAGGGAGTGGGAGGAAGAGGATGATGCAATGATATGAGGAGAAGGTATGATCTGACTGCCACTCTCCGCCCACATCGGAGAAACAGAAGCGGCCGTGGCTGTCTCCCGTTTCTGTGCACTCCAGCGAGCACGTCCACCAGCACCAGCTAGGGGTCTGGGAGCGCTGCGCCCAAAAAATTCGCGGGGCCACGAGGGATACAGAGGCTCCCTGGCGTTACACTCACCAAGCCGACCCCCGAAAACATATGATTGTATGTCAATGCAGTCCGCGACCAATTCCTCGGCCGAATTCTGACCGAACCAGCTGGCAGCCAAATGCTTTTGAGTGAACTCTGCTGTTCCAGGCCTGGGGCCAAATCGTGCTCCTTCGTGCGGGGCGACGGGGAGGGAGTCAGACCGGAGCGTGTAACGAGGGCCCCTTGCCGATGGAAGCGTGAATGGAGACCGCCTCTTCAGCATAATCCCAAACGGATCCTCACCGAGCAATCCTACATCGCACGGCTGCGGGTCAGCCGTTCCGCCCTCTCCTCGCCACCATCAGAGGAAGAACAAGCCGCATAAGCATCAAATTCTTGGAGCTCCGCGCAGATTTTCTGGATTTGTGCTGGAGCCGCGTCCCCGGCGCGCGAAACGCGCCAGGGGCGGCGCTGGAGGCGCCGCCAGGGGAGCCCAGAGCCGATCCAGGAACCCCTCGCGGCGGTTCGGGGGCAACCCCTCGCCCACTGGCACACTCTACCCTGTCCAGGAGCCGCCCAGAAGGCCCCTGGGAGGCCGAAGCTGCAAAAGAGGCCGAAGCTGTGCACGGGAAGCCCGGGTCCTCCTCCTCCTCCTCCCCTTCCTCCTCCTCCTCCTCCTCCGTGCTACTGCTGCTGCTCCTCCTCCGCCGGTTCCCTCCTCCTTCTCCTGAAAACTTCAGCCCGCCCGATGTCTGGGACCTGCACGTTGCACGTCCGCGCCAAAACTACAGCTCTTGAAATCTACACAGCAAAGGCCCGCGCGCACGCAGACGGACTGGCCTCCTGCCGGCCGGGTGCTCGGGTCGACACTACTGGTGCGCCGCTGCCCTGTCGGACTCACGGGTCTTCGCCTGCTGGGGGGCTGGGTGGCAGGGGCGTGGAGGAGAGGGAAGGGGCCGACTGGCAGGATGAGATGGGGTCGCTGGGGAGTGTGGGGGATGCGGGAGGGGGCCTAATATGGAGAGAGGGAGAGAGAGAGAGAGAGAGAGAAACATACGTACATAACACAAATATATGTCTATGCATTCACATCTGTACATGCCCGCTGCTCCTCCTCCCCCTGCGCCTCCTCGTTTCAATCGCTGCGACAACGATTCTGACGTTGCTGATGAGGGCGGTAAGTACTGGCGAGTGGGAAAGAGAGAGAGAGAGAGAGAGAGATAGAGAACAAAAGAAAACGAGAGAGAGAGAGAAAGAGATAGAACGAGAGAGAGAGAGAGAGATACAGAGAGTGAGAAAGCGACGGTTGGGGAACCTCCCTCTCTCCAAGAGTTTAGTGCACGTCCCAGGCGGTGAAGACGAAGCAGGAGAAATGCGAGGATGTTGATGACGACGCAAATGCGAAACAGTACACATTATGCTGAGACTAATCTGAAGAAAGAAAAGACGAGGTCGGCTCAAACAATACATTCGTAATCATCTACATGGATAATCGCCGCAACACGCACAGTTCTGATGTGCGAAAGCAGCGAATGAGGATACGACCGAAGACATTGTAGGGCACGGATGTAAATCATGATCATGGTGGTGCGAGGGGTTGGGGGTGCGGGCGGGTGCCTATGTGGGTCTCTCTCTCTCTCTATATATATATATATTCAGCCGTGTAGAGAGGACGAAGGAAACAAAGGCAGAACGTGACACATACAGACGTATACAGCTATCTATACAGGTATATGGTAAAGTTACCAAGGTAAACACAAACGTATCCAACATGGTAGAGGCACAAAGAAGGTTGGGATTGGACAGTATGTCGGCGTCATGGACCACCTTCGGGGTGATAGGTCGGTTGGGAAGACATGGGCCCACCTCGGATGTCCACATCCTACCGGACCACCAAACTAATTCATCCCTCTACTTTGGTTCATAATCGCATCCTGCCGTCCACTGCTACTATGGGGCTCTTTCCGTGAATTGACATGCCGCCACCGCGCACTTCCGAATGTGTTGACGGTGCCTCGCGCTCCCTCACAGCCGATCATCCAGAGGGATGCGCGGGCACCATGGGTTGCAACATTGGTGCCTCGAGACTTCAAAGTAACGACATGGAGAAGCAAGAAGAAGAGACGGAAAAAAACATGCGACGCGTGTGCTTAAGACCAGCCGGGCTCCCAGGGGTACTGCGTCATCTCATGCATGTCCTGCGCCCGATGCTGTGACGTCTTCGCACTAGCGCCCCCGAGCCGAGGCGGCGCGTGCATTTTCAAGTGGCGCCCGCCGTCGCCGCCGCCAGACGCGCCGATCATCATCAAAGCGCCCGAGAAAATCGCCGCCGTGCCGCGAGGCGCGGGTTGGAGCGTCCGCGGGATCTGTGAGTTCTCCGTCCTGGAGGAGGGCGCATGATAAAGCCTGGGCCGCTCGTTCTGCGCGTCCTTGGGGCGGGAGGGGAAGGGTCGCGTGACCCCGCGTGCTCCTTGGAGTTTCTCGTGCGATTTTCCCTGGAAGTCCGAGCGGGCCTGGGAAATTTCCCCGGGCGGCCCGGGGGCGCCTCGAAACCGCCCAAAGACTCCCAAACAATCGAAACGGGGTTTGCCATCGAACAACATGCTGTGGGGAGTGTAGGCGTATGGTATAAAGTAATGGCGGAGGTGGCGGCGATAAAGGAAGGCGCCTCTTTCCTGCGCGCCGCCAACGATTGCACCGCTGATGGCGCAGGCAAATGGGGCGGCGCCGCCTGGGGCCAGGGAATGCGGCGGCGGCATGCGCGACGCGCGATATCAGTTACCTCCTCGATGCATTCCCTCGCAATCGATGGGGGGGCAGGAGTTCGGCCGTCGACGCCTTATCGCGTCGGCTCAAGGCAGCGCTGGGCGGAAGCAAAAGGGATCGGCCGTCGAACTTCGACGACCGACGCAAGGCGTAAAACGCGGGGATGCGCAGAACCAGGTAATGCTTCCTCCGTGGGCCCAGCTTCTCGGCGCCAGAGCGCGCGGGCACAGGCGGGCTCGGCGATGCTGCTTGAGCAGACGGACCAGGTGGGCCCCGAAAACCGACGATGCAACCGATGACGGCTGACCCCAGATCTGCGCGGAACAAATCGAACAGGGTTGCATTTCCTCGACGGCGGGGTGCAAACGTGGGCGCGGAAACGCGCCCTCCTTGAATAGTCGCGGGTCCGCGCAAGCTCGGCATGGGCCAAGAAAGAGGGCCCCCCTCTTTGCGCGCAACGTGGCTGCAGCTGGGTGCCCCGCTAAACCTGCAGGACCCGTGGGGGCGCGAGGGCAGCCACGGCGGCCATCTGTTGCCAATGGGAAGTTTATTTCCTCGACTCGGAGCAGCAGCCTTCGCTTACTGCTTGTAGCTCCGGTAGCTGGCCAAAGCTTGCAGAAATAGATCGCCGTCGATAGTGCCCTTGGTGCGACCGTCCGCTGTCGTGTCTCGGGCGTCGCGCCATTGCGGATTGTAGATGATGCGGAGGTCTGGTGATTTTCTTATCCAACTGATATGTCCCAATGGTGTCTCCCAAGTAAATGTCTTGAGATCTTTACTGGGCAAAGACTGATGCGCCAATTCGGCGCCAGTCGTGAGGGGCGCTCGAAAGCGCGGCCAGCCGTATTCACGTAGACGCTTCAGCTCGGAAGGACTCAATCCTTCGATGAGCTCGCGTCCCAGAATAGGGCAGCATACGCTCAAATTGTAAGCGACAAGAAATGCTTCGGCATCGCAGCTGGGCAGGCCCTGAGAGGAATGAGCCTCGGCGAGGATGCCGATGCAGCGTGTAACTCCCCCTTTGCTGCTCGTGTTCCCACGGCGCAGAAGGTTGCGTCCACTGAGGCCGTGGTCCTTTGTCTCGTCGTCTTCTTCGCTGGTGAGCTTCCGATGCCTGGGAACGCTGCGCAGGTCCACGGTGTCATCGGGGGTCGTGGCATTGTGGGTGGTCTTCTTGGGTTCCTGCACTTGCATGCGGGTAAGGGCGTTTAGGCGTCTCACCTGTGCGTCATTCGCGTCCTGGGCACGCTGCTAAGAGACGGTGCACGGCGTGATCCAGAACTGTGCCAGTGTGGAATCTGCTTGGGCTCCCCGAAGGCTAGCAAAAATGTCGCCGACAATACTACTAGCCGGTGTGTCCTGGAAGGCCCCGGCCAGATCCGGGTGCGCAATGAGGCGGAGCTGCTGGACATATTCGCCCTGGTCCTTAAGCGCGCCCTCATTTCGTATGGGTGTGCGTGCATGTGTGTGCGTGTAAGTTCAACGTCCATTTTCCGAATGCCTTCTCGACCTGCTTGACGTGGGCATCAATGTGAGATTCCTTTAGACTGTTAGCACTTTTGGCTGTTAGCAAAACGTTAATGGCCTCGAACTCCTGGTAGTGGGGCGCGGGCTCGAAACCAATTCTATCCTTTTTCTGTTTTGGGTTAAGGAAGACGCTCGATGGGGCATCTTTAGTACATGTGACGGTTGTGAAGAATCTCGAGCAATGTCGTGATTCGTCGTAATCTTCAAAACCGATCGGGGCACGAAGTGTGGTGGCACTGCCACGAAGTAGGGTGAAACGTGCGATGCGCTCCTGCTCGCCCGCGGCGTCGGCCAGTTCTCTGCGTGTACAAGTGCAACCTGTAAAGAAATCCGTATCTGCGTTGGGACTGGCCAACGCGCAACATGGGCTGCATGCTGCTTCGCTTGTCAACATGCGTTGGGCGGTGAATCGTGCCGTCGCTGAGAAAGTAGCAGCGGGGAAAGCTTCTTCGCGCATGAAGCCGCGTCTTGCAAGGCGACGTCGCGCGGTTTTCGTAATTTCCCCGCGTCGGACTTCGCGGACTTCAAATGGTAAATCTACCTGGGCCGTGGATTGCAGCCCCTTGGTCGAGCGTCGGTTGTCGGGGCATATCTAGAACTCTGCCGCGAGTGCTGTTGTTTATGCTTTCCTGCTCAACGAGCAGACCGTCTTCTCTGCCTACCGCAGCGCGTTCCACGTCGGCCGCGACGTAGACGCGGATGGTGGCCACGCGGCCAGGAAGTATGACTTCTAACTGCCGTTCGTCTGATTTTATCTTTGCCATGTCCTCGGTGAAGCATATTTCGGCGAACCTGCGGTGCTCGACCGATTGCCATCGCAGGGGCCCAAGACCGTTGGTGAGCGAACAAGACATCGCTTTGTAATTGATGAAGTAGGTCGATGAGATCCTGTTTGAACGTGTGGTTTTCATGCTCATGCGATACTAATTCCGTATTTGCTGGGATCGCAAAGGTTGGGGTCGAATCGAGGTCCTGCTGCTGCTCTACGATTACGTGTTCCGAATTACTGGCGTTCCGCAGCCATAAGTTCCCGGCATCAATAGTGTAATAGCATGGTGTATTCATCTTATTCGTCATCACCCTCTTCGGTTGTATATAGACGACCGCAGGTCGGCCCACGGTAATTCCAATTTCGAAGCCATACAAGATTCGAGTGAGCCCGGTCACCTATTTCGCCACGATGGGCGGCCGTCGAACTTCGCAGGCTGGGCACCCAAAGACGAGCCTCTCGAGGATCGAGGTTGTAAATACAGATACGTACATAAACATACGCACATACGTCGCATTTATATGTGCGTATGATGTATGTGTATATGTACGTGCGACCATCCCTCCCCTGGGAAGGCGTATGTCCGTGATATATGGGTGCCATGGGCGACCGTGTAGATGATGCTGGGAATGGACGACCCTGTATATGGCTGCCATGGGCTATGTTTGTGGGTCGCGATGATGATGGTAATGTATGGGTGCCATGGGCGAGCCTGCCATTGGACTGGATAGAACGGTTGGGACTGGATAGAATGATCAGTGCTTCTTTTTCCTCTTCTTCGTTGTCCTTCTCATCGCCTGCCTTGTCCTGCTCATCCCCTTCCCCCTACTCCTCCTCGTCTTCCTCCTCCCCTTCCCCTCTTCTCTCTCTCTCTCTCTCTTTCACTCTCTCTCTCTCTCTTACTCTCCCCTGCTTCGCTTTTCCGACCTCACCCCCTGGGGGCTGTGGACACGTGAGAACACGTGTCCCCGCGCGCCCGCTCCAGGCGCAAGTTGGGTGCCCCCCCTCTCCGCGCGCGTACTTTTACGCGCAAGAAATCCGCCGGCCAGAAGTTGGGCCTCCCCCTCAGAGGGGGGCCGCGGACACGTGAAACCACGTGCCCACCGCGCACGCGCCAGGCGCATGCCGGGCCCCCCACGCTTCGCACCTGCGTTTTCTTACGCGTAAAGAATCCGTCGACTGGACATCGGGACCCCCACCGGGGGCCGTTGGACACGTGAAAACGCGTTCCCCGCGAGCACACGCCGGCCGCATGCTGCCCCCCCCCCCCCCTCCCCTCCGCACGCGTGTTTGCACGTGTAGAGCATCCGCCGGCTGAAATGGTGTCCCCGCCGGAGGACCGTGGAGACTTGAGAACACGTGCCCCGCGAGCAAGCGAGCACGCGCTCCAGGCGGATGTTGCCCCCCGTCAACCCCCTCCCCCCTCCTCCCCCCTTCTGCTCATAGATGTTAGGCGCAAAGAGCCCGCCGACTAGAAGTCGGGTCTCCCCCTGGGAGGGACGTTGTGACGAGAAAAAATGAAAACACATGCCGAACGCATGGTCGCCGAGACGCATGTTGGAGCCCCCAGCTCTGCGCAAGTAGTCTTACGTGTCAAAATCTGACGCCTGCAATTGGGAGGGGGACGGGCTGGGGGCGGGGAGGATGGCAAAACCTCACTTTATTGCCCTCTCTTCTCCTCCCCCTCATCCTCTTCCTTTTCGTCGTCGCCGTCATCGCCGACGTCGCCCCCTCCTCTTCCTCATCCTTCGCCTCGTGCTTGTTCTCGTCATCGCTGACGTCGTCGTCGCCGCCGTCTTCGACGTCGCCGTCATCGTCGCTATCGTGGCCACTGTCCTTGTAGTCGTCGTCGTCGTCGTCGTCGTCGTCGTCGTCGTCGTCGTCGTCGTCGTCGTCTCTGTCGTCGCCCCCCAAGCGGGCACGGCAACGCCTTCCGGTTGCGCTTCCGCTTCGCGGCGCTGCCATCCGCGCCCTTTGGGGGGTGGCCGGGGCGCTTCTGGGCGGCGACGAGGAGACGCCCGTGGGAAGACCTCAGCCCCCGTCGTCCCTCCTTCTTCGCCTTCCCTCCGCCCTCCTCCTTGGCCGTAGGTCCGTCACAAAAAAGAAACCCGAAGTTGCTGGCGGGTGCTAGCGGTGCTAGCTGGCTCGACCTGGGCACGGTGAGCGGGCATCATGGCTAGAATCCCAAAGAAATTCTGAATTGGGACCGGGCAGGGGCACAAGAAACTAAGACTAGCCAGTGCTCTCAGCCATGCGTTCCAGTTTCCAGTCCGATGGGTAGGAGTGGAGTGGAGCAATCGGACGTAGTCCGTTCGGAACCCAGGGATGCCAGGGGGGCCATCCAGTATTTCTCGGAGGGCCGTGGGGGGCGACATCCCACGGCCCGCCGCGACAGGCCCCCCTGGCCTCGCAATTTACTCGGTGGCAGCACCCGCCGCGAAGGAACCGATCGCGGCTTCGGCTGCCGAAACGTGCATAGCTTCTAGCACTGCCTTGCTGGGACCCGCTCTGGACGGGTGGAGGCCTCGCCTGATCCTGCTGAGGTTCTCGAGGCCTTTGCCAGTGGGTCCCGGGGCCCTGCGCTCTCCCACTTGGTGGGAGAGAGGGCACGGCAAAAGAAGGCTTTTAACCTGGTGCGTGGCCGTATGGCCGCACTTCACACAAAAGAACAACTGCCACTTGGGGATGGTGGCCAAAAAGTGGGAGGGGTGGATCAACTTGCCACTGATCACGCGGGGACCCCTCGACCACAGCACCTCTCCACACGCAGCGAACTCGGGAAGGGGGCAAGGCGGCGCACACTCAGTGGCGGCAGCTGGAATAACGTGGCACGCGTCAACGATGATGAGGCAGGCAGGGCATCTCCATTTGTCTGCACACCGCTCGAATTTGTGCTGAGAAGCCGCGATCGCGGTCTGCAACTGAGAGCGAGGGGCTGCAACCTGGGTGGGTTGCCTTTCTGGCCACAGTCCTCGAGGCTCTGAATTCTTGCCTAAGGAACGTAAGATCAGTCGGGCCCTCTGTCGGACGATGGCTGCAATAGCGTCATATTCATCAGTCCTGGGGACAGGCGGGAGGGCAAGGGTGGCCGACTTGTGGGCCGCGCTTCCCGCGAGCTCATCGGCATGCTGGTTGCCGAGAGCCATAAATTTTTGGAAACCATTCAAAGTGAGGGGATCGGCGTGAGATGGGGTCCAGAGCACCGAGACCGAGGAGCAGCCGCCAGATCGATCCTGCACGAGGTGCCGAATTCTCAGCCAGAGATCCCCATTCTTATTCTTGCCTCTGAGGCTGCCAGGTCGGAGACATCTGCCATTCTGCCAGCCGCGCTGTAGGGCTAGGTGATCAGTAACAAACGTGAAATCCTGCTGGCACGTCTCGAGAGCCAGGCAAAACGCATGCAATTCGACTCTTGGGACAGTCTGGCGGGGGCCTGGGAGGGGGGCGAGGAGGCCAGCATGGAGGGCCCAGGAGGCCGAGGGAGGGTCCCATCGGAGGGCCGCAAGGCCAGAACCAACGCGTCTTCGTCTGACGTCGTCGGAAAAGGCGCCGCCAGACCCGTCGCCAAAAAGAAACAACTCGCCCTCAGCGTTACGAGCTCCTTCCCACGACGGCAACCCATCCCGCGCCGCACCAGCAACCTCCCACCCGTCCCTCCCAGTCAATGGCTCGAACGCGGGCGTAGTGAGAGCGACGGAGGGGATGCCGCGGAGCCACAGGGCAGGGTCAGCTTCGGCCCCCGCCACGGCTCGCGGTAGTAGCTTGTCACTGGCCTCAAACTCGGGTCCCACATTCGCCTCGCACTGCCACGTACGGTGAAACAGGGTTTCAGGAACTCCTGCGCTGCAGCGGTCGCAGTTCCTGTCGACCTGGTAGCCCGAGTTGTGGAGGCGGTCCCTGGTCCATTGTCCTCCACTGATGACGGTGTTGTTGAGGGCCCAGTCGCTGAAATCACCGTTTGCGAGGAGCCTCCTTTGCTCGATGCGGATAGTGACCATGTCCGCTCCTCCAGCCAGCGTGTCGCCATGGTCATGGGTAGCGGCCTGAGTCCAGAGGAGCCTGTGCAAATCCTCGCTGAGGTCCTGCAATACTGTGTGGATGTCGGCGTCGGGGAGGTCAGGGTCGTGGGCAGAGGGGAGGTTCCACTCCTCAATGTAGCCGTCCTTTGTGCGCCTCCACGTGGTGGCTGAGGTCGGCTCCCAGCTGGCCTCCAGCAGTGTCGCGATGGCCGCGCCAGTGGGCCCCTTGACCCTGCACCACAGCTTGGGGCCTGCGGCTAGCAAGGTGGTCTTGATCCTTGGCCATGCTCTGATGATCCTGGCGTGCGTGCTCGGGTGGCGTATCCAGTGCTGGAGCCAAGCCTCGATGAACTCGATTCTTAGGGAAACTCCTGGGTCCATGCCGTCGAAGGTGGCGCCGAGGAGGGAGGTGAGGCATCGGCCCGCTGCTGCCCCCGTGGCCGCGATGGCGGCTTGACGGCGCCATCGCAGTAGAGCGTGTCGAGCAAGTCCGTGCACCTGATGACCGAAGACTCCTTCGGGGAGAGCGCCAGTACGCCACAGTCCTGCTGAGATTGAGCCTGCTGTGCAGTGCTCCGTAGTCGGTGTATCTTGCGAAACCTAGCTGCGGCTGGGCTCTGTCGCTTCCTGGCTTTTGCTTGTGCTCGTCGAGTAGCCGCGGCCGCGTCGACTCCGAGGTCAACGGCCGTGTCGGTCGCTGTGACAGGGATGTCGTACTGCCGCAACTTCTTGGCAAGCGATTTGCGGACCTTGGGGGTGGAGCCGATGAGGACCGTCTTGTCAGAGATGGGCAACTCGAAGTCCTTTAAACCGTCGCAGAGCGTCTTGGCGGCACGGGGGAGGTGCTTCTGAAGTGTGCGTAGGACTCCTTCGACTCGGAGGACGGTGTCGTCTACGAAGGTCCACATCTGGGCTAGCTCAGCCTGAGCTTGGGCTTGCCGTAGAATAGGAAGTAATATGAGTCGCGCCAAGGTCGTGCCATGCGGGGGGCCTGCGATGATGCCTTTGGAGGCGAAGATAGGCATACTCACCCATTGTCGGCTGCGCAAGAATCTGGGCGCGAGGTATAGCTGTACTTCCAGAAGTAGAACGATGGGTGGGAAGCCGCAGTTGAGGCCGACCATGATGAGGTTGGCGAGCTTGATATTGTCGTAGAACTTCTGGATGTCCAATAGCAATGTGGCTGACTGTATGCCAAGTGCTGAGGCTGTCTCGTCTAACAAGGCCCTGTGCAGGGCGGCCTGGAGAGCTGAGGAGCCTTTGATGGCTGTAGTCCAAAAGTCATCCAGTCCTTGGGTCCAGGAAGTAGATGCCGTCGATCTGATGCGAGACCAGAGTCTGGCCATGTGAGGTAGCATGCCGAGGACCCTGTCGCCTCCAGACTTCTTGGCTGCTAGGGCTGCAATAGTGCCTGAGATTTGTAGTGGCCAAATGCCTGCCTGCTCTACTGCGTTGAGGATATCCGCATAGGCTTCGACTGCTGGTTCTGGTAGTCGATGGAGGTCGCGAGGTCCAAGTGCGTCCACTCCATGTGCTTTACTGGGTGGCATGCGGCCGTGAAAGCGATGTACGATCTCGGCTGTGATGGGCTCGAGCGGTTGGTGTGCGGCTGCTGCCTTGGCCTTTGATAGCGCCTGTAGGATGTCGTCAGGGGTCTCTGTGGCCTGCCATACTTGTTGCCATTGTTGCTTCTTGCTGTCCATGATAACGGTGGGGTCGGCGATGGTCAGGTTGGTCGTGTAGGCCTCGATGTGACGCACGGGCGCTGGCTTGACATGGGCGTGTAGTACTCCAGGGCGGTGTTTCCATTGCTTGGCGAGCCAGGCGCCGTAGGCCCTCTTGGACTTAGCGAGGGCGGCGGAAAGCGCTCTGGAGGCCCAAGTAGCAGTAATGGTGACCAAGTCGTCGGTGTCCTCGTTGTCCAAGTGCGGGGCCCAGACGAGTGCAAACCAGCGGAAGATGGTGTCCTCGTCCTTCTCGAACTGGAGGTCGTGAAAGTGAGCGCTGAAGTGGTCCGCGCGCTGCTGGATGATGGAGGCCATCTGCTGCATGAGCGCTGTGTGCTTGGGCTTGTCGTGAAGCGCAGCGTAGCGCTTGATGAGGGTGAGCGTGATTGCCCACCATTCTGACTGAAGGTCATGTACGTGAACGCGGCCTGGGGCGGCGGCCGTCTTCTTCCAGGACAATTGGTAGCCTTGGGCACGGCCTGTGAAAGCTGCGGCTTCCTTGGGGTGGATCTGGTGGTGGCTGATCATGGTGTTCTCGAGCGCCGTGGCCCATTTGGCGTACTTGAGGTTGAGGTCGTCGGCGTCGTGCGCCCAGTGAGTGTACACGAAGTGCGCGTGGGGCTGCTTACAACGTGTGGGTACTGCTAGCTGCCATTGCTCCTCCCAGAGGTCGGTCGGGATAGCGTAAGGGATAGGCTCCTGTGCTGCGGGCTCGTCTTGAGGCTGGAGTTGTGCTGCTGCTTGTTGGAGTTCAGGAGGTAGTTCGCGTAGGCGTGCTGCTCGAGCTTCTGCTGTTTTGCGTCTCTTGATGGCGGACTTGCTGTTGGGGTCGGGTGGGATCCTGGGTCTGTCCACTGTGGGGAATGCTCTGGGGGTATGGATCGACTGATACCACCAGGGATCTGCACTGCCTGCTCGAACCTCAAGGCCCACGTGGGTGGCCCAGGGGACGGTGGGGCACTGGCGAATGGAGATCGTGTGCTCGATGCCAGTCTTGACCAATGCGAAGTCGAGCGTGAGCCCCTGGCCCTTGTCGCACGTGGCAGATCCAGGCGCTCGCACGATGGTAGCATTCCATTTGGCGGGCCACTCTGTCGCTGCGAGTTGCTCAGGAGTCATATTCCAATCGGCCAGGATGAGCATAGTAACGAAGGCCCCCAGCGAAAGTAGCTTATCGTGCACTGCACCCTCGATCTGCCTGTGGGGTTCCAGGTCTGCTGCAATAA